TTTTTTTTTTTTAAGTACTTATTAAGGAATGTGACTATTTTCGTAAGTTCGAAAATTTATAATTACTTATCCAAGTAGTCGTAGATCTTTATATAAATAGATCGTTTCTGCGAGTTGAAAATTCCAGCGGTTTGAAGATTGATCGGAAATATGCGAATAAAAAGGATCCCCTCCCCGTTACATTTCGTACTTTTCAATGTACACATTGACAAATTTTTACAAAATTATCATCTCTAAAAAAGGCCACTTTCCTAAGGTCATTGAACTTCTCAAGTTTGGTCAAATATCCATTATCGTGTAAATTAATAACAATGGCAAATTAAATTAAATCGCACTTCCTAATTCTTAATTGAATTAAACTTATGATTAATGAAGTGAAAGATGACGATCAAATTATTATTACGATAATCGTGGAATTTCTATCAATAAATAATTCTTATTACGTAAATCCAATGTCCTTCAACTATAAAGGTTGAAAAACCAGTTACATTTTATTTCGTCCCAAATATCAAAACAAACATCCGTACGCACAGCAATCCAAAACTGACATTAGTTAAATATTAAAGCTGCGACAGACTTAGGAATATCGAAACCTTTTACGATCTTTCATCCGAAATATTTATAGCTGTCTTGTTAATTCAGTTAAATGATATAATACTTCAGTTTGAATTGTTATCGAAACGAACGTAATATTCCTAAATCTCTACGCAAATTCCGAGGGAACAAGCACGTGCCGCGGTGCAACTTCATATTACGAAAAAACGTGAGTTACATAAATACACATACATGAACGCCGGCATTATCTAAAGAAAATCCATCGCACATCTCGTCCACTTGTAACACGATGAGAAATCTGAAGAACAGAGAACCTTTCACACTATGAAATTATCTTTAGAAACTAACATAAAGGGACATTCATATGGAAATGAGATGCCGATTTGTAAAATCAGTCTTACAGCTTAAAAATCAAATTTGAGATATATATATATATATAATATATATATATGTATATGTATATACATGTTATATAGTTTTCTATATTCGTTATGTAGAAATAATTCGAGTATAGACTGAAATAAAAAGTGACAAACAGCAACAGCAATATATGTACAAAGAAGAAACTACTGAATACCTTTTGTAGAAATTCGTGAACTTTTCTTATACGTATAAACAATACACTCGGATATAAACTAGCGCAGGCTGCCTTGCAATAAAACGCTTAACAAAAAAATCTCTAGAAAAAGCTCAGACGTGATTGAGTTTCGCATTCTGAAAAAGAGAAAGTTATTCTCAAAAGAACGTTATCTACAATTTTCGATATAAAATTGTAAAGTCATGGTAATAAATACATTATCGTTTACCTTCGTATATATTGTGTCTGTGGTTAAGTACAACGTTCATAAATTCAAAGCTATTGGCAAAAGAAAAGAGAAGGTAAAACTGTAGAAGAAATAATTGTCAATTCAAGCTTCTCGACTTGAATATAGACATCTGGATAACGATTCGTTCTTCGTTCCTTGCTCCTACAGTTTGATAAAAATAAAGTAACGTGCATTTCGTTTGCGTTCCTATCATTACTTTATAAAATTATGATATGGGTATGCATCAGGTGAGTATTTTAAATACATTATACCAGTAAATTGCAACGAAATACTTTGACGATAGTCTTTCGTTTTCATTTCTCGCAAAATGTGTGGCAACGCTTCTCATTATAAAAAAAAATTAGATAACGAAAAAAAAAAAGTATCAACTTAGAAATTTAATTGTTTCTGCTTTCAAAATTGATCGGAGACGTATCGTTTGCAAACACACTTGCAAAGCAGAATTATTTTGAAGTGTGACAATACATCCCCGAGTGTGAAATGGAAATCTTGAATGGCTATCAAAAACAGATAGGAGAAAAAAAAAAAAGTAGAAAGAAAGGAGAAGAAAGATTCAATCGACTCGACCGTATGACGGGACTATATCTTCTCTTATCCAAAAGTCGCAGTTGGGATAATCACGGTCAGGAAGCGTGTCTTGCCCAACGATTAACACTCGTTTCACGCCATGGGGATCTGCCTGAGCTACCTCACCATGCCAGACATAGTGATTGAAAAGTTGCTGCATTGCAGACACGTGTCTCTTCTCAGCGGGCGTGCGAGCAGCATACGATCCAAGTATCGCTGCGGCATCGCAGTCAGGATCTGCGAACTGGCCACGTGGTTGCGTCGCTACGTAAAATGGAATATTGGTCTTCATTCTGGCCACTGTCAATAATGGACATATCACACGAATGTCCGAGATCATGCTCAGCAAACCTTTCAACGTTGTGTTGTAACGTCTGAGAAAAGAATTAGAATCTCTTATTAAATTTCTTCTCTAGAGCAATTACAATCTTAGTTGACGATGAAATATACAAAACAGAAAGAAAAATTCTTACTTGAGAGCTTCGTCTGCTAAACCCGATGTACCTAATAGGGACTCCTTCACGATTTTCTCCACTTGCGTAGAGTTGAATGTAGCGTTAGAGGTAAGATACTTGAGAGGGGCTCCTGCATGGGCAGTCGTGCCCATCACGATTTTCACCTGGAATTCATCCCTTGCCCAAATTTGGCCCACAGGTTCCTGAAGTATGGCACGATCGAGCACCAGCCACTCGTGCCTTCTGTCTCTCGTCGTTGCTTCCCTGGTTTCGGGCAGGCCGACATTACCCAAATGCCAAGTCTCGGGCACCGAGTCCATGACCTCCTCGGCGCTCTTGCTTCGCAAACAGGCGGCGTCGTTGCATCTCGTCGAGTTGAGAAACATCTCGCTCAGCGTCTCGGAAATTTCCAACTCCCTTCCAGGGAATATCGCGCTACCGCTGGAGATCCATACTCTTTGGAAGAGATCTTTCGTCCGCCGGATGCGGACCAAAGTTGTGACCAGAGTCCCTCCTGCCCGATGGCCCCACAGTGTTACGGCCGATTTATTACCGCCAAAGTTCTCGATGTTGAGCTGAACCCAGTGAAGTGCCGCTATAATGTCCGACAGTCCGTAATTCCCGGACGTAAGTGGATGCGAAGCTCTCGAGAGCGGCTCCGCAGCCAAGAAACCGAAAATCCCTAGCCTGTAAACGAAAGCCGAGTTCATCATCAGAAAAGAATAGAATTTCTTAACACGTTCCGTTTCAAGCCATTTTTGCCTTTTGCGTTCAGGCCATTTGATATTTTGACTAAAGGTTGATATATTATCACACAACAGGCCATTTATATTTTGACTAAAGGTTGATATATTATCACACAATCTTTCATTATATCATCAGTCGATAAGTAGTTCTCTTGTTTGTGTAGCTATCACATCGTGTACCACTTGTGGTAATATTATTAGAAATATGGTGGCCAGCTATCACATCGGTACCACTTGTGGTAATATTATTAGAAATACATGCTGGTACACGTGGCCTGAAGATCAAGTTTAACGTGTACCACCGGTGGTACACATGGCAGGGAACGTGTTAACAGATGAAATTACAACGTTTCTATTTACAAACCCGATCAAATCGATACTAACCGAAAGTTCGGTCTAACAAATACCATGTCACGGACACGAGCGAGTTTTGCAGAAGGCTGCATCACGCCCGGAGATCCACCGTTAAGTGTTTCAGCGCCGATCATCACGACTACCGGTAAAGGCGAGTCATATCTGACTTCAGGTGTGAAAACGTCTAGATACAAGCAGTCTTCGCTGCCGATAATTTTCCCGGAGGCTTCTCGTTGCCAACAGACTTTCGACGAGTTGTGCGCCTGATACGTGTTCGTCCAACAGTACTCGATCTTCCTCAGCGGTTCCGCTGGCTGCCAACGGCGGTTTTCTATCGGCGGAACTGCATACGGGATCCCGCGGAACGCGAACGCACCATCCTCCGACACACCTTGCACCGGCCCGCAGGAAGTCACTGCCTTGACGAAGCTACCATCCTTCACCAGCTGCGAGACATTCTTCCTTGGGCTGATGCAAATGATGGAGATGATGATCACGACTGACACCAAGATACATAGTACTGTCACTGTTAACACACAAGCATACATTGTACAAATTGGATGATATTTGTATTTCAATTATCATCGATTTTCGTAATTTTCAGATTGTGAAAACATCTGAGACTTAACCCTTTGCGGTCGAGTGTCGGCAAATAGCCGCCCAATTCTATCTGTCTGAGTGACAAAATACGCATGTGTATAATAAAGCAATATACCAAATAGACCCGTTTGAAAGATCACATTAGAGATCCTTAGTGAGCTTACATTATACAGAAGATGAAGTCTCATATTCAGGATTCTGTCAAAAAATCCCTCACTAAGGATTTCTAAGGTCTGTTTAGTATATTATACATAAACTCAGTTTTACGACTGAGAAATTACACAGACCTGATCTCCCAATAAGTATAAGAATAGTTTTACAGCTATATCAAAATCTATTATCAATCAAATCCTGAAGCTGCGGGATACCATATTTTCAATGACTGTTATTTTACAAGCACTTCC